CTGTCTGGCAGAACAGGCATTTGCCTCAGGTCCTTACAAAGCCGTCACTTGGACACAGAGAAGTCCTTCACAGGAACAGTCTCAGGAGCACTGAGTGGCATTAGCCTTTGGCAATTATGCTCTTCAACTTAGTGTAAAACCACAGTTGTTGTAACCTTTTCGATGTTAATTTACAATCTGGACTCCACTGACTGTCCTTTGTCTTAGGGGACTGACAGAAACTTTTCCCTTCAAACCTTGTCTGTCYCAGGGAGTTTTCTCATCAAGGCAGTGCAGGTGTTTGCTCCCAGAAGAGCTTCATTTCATTCATTTAACTAAAACAGAATTTCACAAGTAGGAGGATATTCCAGTTCTTTCAAACATTAATCCAATGTCTTCAGGCAGAGACCTGCCCATTGTTTTACAACACCATGTACTGTACCCATGGACACAGCCATGTCAAGTGAGATTGTCACCTGGACTTAACACTAACATTAGGAATCTGGGCTTGTGCCTTGGAGCAGTCTTAGTACAGCATTCTCCCCTTTTCTCCACAATGTAATCTCACCCCTAAACACAGCACTGCATGTAACTGTAACTGAACTGTCTTTCTGATGTGCATTTTAGGACTGACACTGATTATGAAGCTGTTGTGACAATCACTGGAATGCTGGAAGAGAAGCCTTGCAAGCTGCACCTCAGAGGGCAAGGAATGCACCTTGGGAAGATGCATTAAGCAAGACAATGTAGGACAAATGTCAAGGTGACAGGCTGGATGCAGATGTGCCATCAGCTGAGCCTGGTTTTCACCTACTTCTGTTTAATAGAGACTGGAATTTTAGCAGAATGAAAATGTAGGTTATTAGGAAATAAATCCTTATGGTACCTTAACCAGTCATAATCACATTCTGTACACCTTTATTGCTGTGATAAGCTTAGCTTTTAGGCACAGATCAAGGTTTTAAATTGCAAAGCAGCTGTGTAAATCAGGCCAAAGCACTCTGCAGAGCCCAGCATGCCTTGAATTACAGCTACATACCTTAAAGTAGCTTTTGTTTTGCCTCATTTATTTGTTTGACATTAAAATGGACATTGACACATAATAAGAGCAAGAACTGGTGAATAAGCCAGCATTCCCCAGGCTGTTTCCTCAGTGCCTTACATGAAAAGAGGAAGAGCTAACTTTCCTTGGTCTCCTTGGAAAATTACCAACCTGTTTCATCATGCTTGGGCCTTGAGAACATCCTCTTCAGCAACAGAGGGAGGAACCCTTCTTCCTTTTCATTCTTTGCCCCCACATGGTTCCCATTTACTCACACTTCTCTTTAAATTATTTTAGTATTAGTTTAKCTAAAGGTCACTGGAATTCCCACTTCTGAGTCTGTTAAGTTTTCCACTCCCCTTAAATAAAAGGCTTTTGTTAATCCCTCTTTACCCCCTCTAAATAATTCCAGGTTTTGGCTGTAACGCAGGGTCTGTGTGATTGCTGGGTGAGACAGGCTACAGCATGGGATTGTGAAACTATCCAAGAGCTCCAACTCATCATGACCTCCAACTACCAATCATCATAAAAAGGAAACAAATGTATTGCAAGAACCCAATTTTATTATTAAGTGCAAAAACAAGAGTCAGGACAAAGAACTTCAGTTTGTTACAAATTTAAACTACCAATGAGTACATTTCTTTTTCAAGCTGAGTTTCAGTGTTCTTCCTGGTCAGACAAGAGAAGAAATAAGGGATGACAAAAGACCCAAGATGGAATATGTTAGGATTAGTACTGAAGGACTGAGCTGTCACTGACATTCATGTAGTGCTTGCAGTACATGTAATGCTGCAATTTGCTTTATGTTAAGCAAGTAAATATGATTAAGCACAAGATTGTCCTTGAAGTTACACAAACTGATAATTAGATGTGTTGTAAAACATGGAATGGTCTCATCCAAATTCCTGAACGTTTCTGTTCAGTTATTTCCTGTGGAAATAACATTCCAGTGCTTCCACTTTCCCCCACTGGAGGCTTCAGAGCAGCTCCAAGAGCAGCGACTTACAGCCCCTCCTCCAATGCAGGGACAATTTAAGACATGGGCAACTTATTACTCATATAGGACAGACACAGTCATAAAGGCAAGGATGTAAAGTCTGTGCTTGAAATCAAGCTGTTTTAAACTTCTTGCAAAACGGTGACATCTTTTAAGAAAATGCTGGAAAAGTATTTTCATGTGGACTGGTATTTTCATTTTGAGTGACCCTTTTTGCCAACGTGTCATACGAGAATACTGTCCCATGAAGTATTTCTCTCTGGTAATATTCACAGAATAAAGAGATCTATTAAATTAAAAATATTCATTCATAATCACCACACCAGGGCCTGTAGTTAATTTCAGCTGAGCTAATTTCTTATGTCAGGAAGCCAGGTGCCAGTTTTGCATTTCCTCACCTTCTTAGCAGAGCTGTACCATTAATTCTACTTCACAATTTCTGCCTCAAATTTGTAGATCTAGTACCAAATCCCAGAACCCACTTGATTTCACAGTGCAAATCACTTGGAGAGAGTGAGCTGTGCTGTTGTTCTGTCTGCACTGGAGTTCACTTCCCCGGGTATTCGAACACRGCTGCAGCGCCCATGCCAGTTCCAATGCACATGGACACGACTCCATACCCTCTGAAACAAAGAATATGTGGAATTAACAAAAAAGAAAAAGACAGCTCAGGCTTACATCATCCAGGGGAAAAAAATAAAGAGTATAATAAATTAGAACTGTCCACTGTTCTCCTGTTTCATTAGGAGAGCCACAGGGAATTCAGGTTCAAAGCCATCCAAGGGATAGAGAAAGCTTCACCCAAAAGGATGGTTACTCCATCCAAGGATGGAGAACGCTTCACCCAAAGGAATGGTCACCCCATCCAAGGGATAGAGAAAGCTTCACCCAGCCTGGTTACCCCTGAGCCTGTGGTAGCTGCACACCCAGCAGGTGTGAGGCCAACACTGATACTCAGCACTCACCTCTTCCCTCTGCGCTTCAGTTCATTGAGCAAAGTGACGACCTGCCGAGCACCAGTACAGCCCAGGGGGTGSCCCAGTGCTATGGCTCCTCCCAGGGGGTTCACCTTCTCCATGGGAATGCCCAGCTTTTCAACACAGTACACAGCCTGGAAGGACACAGGGAATGGTTTCATGGAGATGCTCTTGCTGTTGCTCGTTTTCAGCCTCCTCCTCCTCCAGTTCAAAGGCCTGACTGCAGCTAGTCCATCCTTCTCAGTGGAAAGGAGTGGAACTGATCCAAGGCACTGAGAAGTGAGCTAAAACTATCCACTTCATCTCAAACTGAGCCCCCACACATTCAGATAGACAACCTGACAATCAATCACTGCCCTGGTAAAACAGATGTTGCAAGCTGGTATGAGAGCACAACAGCCAATCCTTATTCAGTGGACTTTTTTTTTCCTACTATGAAGCTTTAAAAGCAATGTCCTGCTCATCTTTATTTAAAGAAAAGGAAAATAGTATGSACATGTTATTAACATTTGGCTGAAGATGTAGTATGTGGAACAAGTTAAAAATCTTAACCTGGAGACCAAGCTAAAATACACTCAGTTGCCAAGCAATGCAGAAACACAAACACAATGTTCACTCACCTGGCTTGCAAAGGCTTCATTAATTTCATATATATCAATGTCATTTAGAGTCAGACCTATGAACCAGAAAAGCCAGGAGTTAAAAGGAGATATTTTTGCCTCATGACTGTATCAAAGAGAGTAATTGCCTGACAGCATCACTCTGTGAATTCCAGTTCTACTCCATCTAAAAAAGAGGAACCTCAGCTCCATGTGGGCTAACTAACTTGAAAAAGTTAATGTACAGCAGTGTCTAAAGACTGCAAAACCTCAGAGTTCATGACACTGTGTCATTTAGTCTGCCATGTTTTCTCAGATCAAGCCTGATTTCTCTGCATAGGGATTACAGATTGGAAGGTGTTCAGAGAGTTAAAGATAAAGCTACAGATAGGCATGTGACAGTAGCCAGGCCAGGCTGAATCAGCTCATTCAGCTGTAAAAGCTGTTTGACCCAATGAGTGTTGTAAAACCCTAGGATGATAAAATTCTAGAGAAAAAACATCAAAAAACAAACACAACCCCACCCCCTACATGCTGGTCATAATAAAGAAGATCAAACAGCACTAAGTGAATACTAAATCACTTCCCATATGCCAACTCSTGTTGAGTCTGTGCAGGGATTTACTCCTGAGCTGCTCAAAGGTGATTGAACAACTTACACATCAGTACAAGGGAAGAGCATTGCAACAATGCGAGGCAAGATCTCTTTTAAGGTTTCAGATTTAAGTTCACTCTTCCCATGGCCAACAGCTGCACATGCAGAACCTTAAATCTCCATGCAAGGAGTGCTTGTGCCAAGCACTGCCCAAATGACATGTGGYTCTTACCTGCCTTTTCCACAGCAACAGGGATGGCGTAGGCCGGCCCTATGCCCATCACATCGGGTGGGACCCCCACCACAGCAAAGGAGCGCAGCACCCCCAGCACCGGCAGCCCCAGCTGTGCTGCCTTTGAGCGTTTTGCCAGGAGAACAGCAGCTGCTCCATCGCTGACCTGGCTGGCATTGCCTGTTGGAAGAGATCTATTAACATCCTTTTTGTTCTAGTAAAGGCAGTTAAACCACAGAACAACACAAATGTGACAGCTGAGCTGACCTGCTGTAGTGCTTCCATCCTCTTTGAAGGCAGGTTTCAGCTTTGCCAAGCCTTCCAGTGTTGTGGAGGGCCTAATCCCTTCATCTTGGTGCACGGTGATTGTTTTACTGTTGCCCTCATTATCTGTAACTGTGGTCTTCACTGGAACAATCTCGGTTTTAAACAGTCCCATCTGCTGAGCTTTTGCTGCTCTAGTAAAAAAAAAAAAGTATGAAAGGTTAAAATATTTTAGAGGTGCAGAAGAACTAAAGTGAAGGAAACCAGTTAGACAGAAAATAAACTAAGGYTGAATTTGGTACATCATTGCTGAGTGGTGGTCAAGACAACAAGCAAATTCTTATTTCCATTCATGGGAAGACAAACTTTTTACCTCTAAATCAACATTACGGACATTGTCCCCAATTCTGGGTCACAGGATCACTCATTTCTGAGCAAGAACCCCCTTCTGTTCCCATCAACACCTCTGTGCCTGACTGACCACCACCAGCCCCCACCACGAGATTGTATTTGTCCAGGAATACAGTCGCAACTGTAAGAAAAAAAATGAACCCTGAACTAGCAGTAGGGAACAACTGCCATGACCGGGCAGAATACAATCAACTAAATCACAATTACCTCCAGCCACATAAATTTCATCTTTTCTATCAACAAGATATTTTAAAAACCTTAAAAGTGGAACTGATTCAGAAGATTACCTCTCAGAGATAAATCTTTTACAGAGAACACAAATTGGAGATTAAAAGCTTGTTTTACCCCTTCATCACTTTGCACTTTTACTAATAAAATGAAAATATTCAATAATCCCAGGTAAGTGAGAATTAGAGCTAAGTGCTGAAGGACAGGTCAGTAGCTYCACAGACATCCTGAGACCAAGGCCAGAAAGTCACCCCTTGCCTCATGTGAGTGTGAGGATCACATTCACATACCCTTTTGGTTATCAGTTCCATGGCAGTGAGAAAGGCTGGCATGCCAAGTTCCCTGAGCRGCAGGGCCGGAATTTAAAGGTTAACTACCCTGTGCAGTGGCTTCCTGTGTTAGATAAATAATTGGACCGGACTCATGCTTAAACAGAGCTCTGAAAGCAAGTTTAACTCTTTGATGGCAGAAACTTTACCACCTGCCACTGCTCTGCCAGTACAGCCCCATGGATTCTGGGGTCAGTTGACTCTGGCAGTGATTTAAGCCAAGAGGAAGGCTATCAGAGGTAGGACTGGACTCACTCAGAGCCAAACACCTGCAGKGAGGACAAGCCACTCTTCTCACAAGCTCAGCAATTCTCTACGAACAGCCAAGCTCAACTGTTCCCTCAACGGGAAAGGTTCCTTCTGCTGCYGCTCCCAMGTTCAGGTTCCAGTGATCCTGAGCCAAAGCCACTACAAAAATACCATGCACTCATTGCAGAAACCTCCCTAAGGTTCTCTCATAGAAACACAGAATGGTTTGGGTTGGAAGGGACCTTAAAGACCATCCAGTTCCACCCGCTGCCATGGGCCCGGGCCTTTTGGATGCTGAAATAAGCAGGGCACTCACTGTTCTGGACCCGTGTGACTGCTGATACCTGTGCAAAGTCAGAGACACAACCCCAGTACAGCTCTGACTCCAGTTCCCTCCTTACACACAACCCTGCACAGGCTCTCAATTTCCATCTGATCACTTCAAGTTTCTTTGCTCACTATTAAAG